GGGGGAGTACATGCTTTCTTTTTCCAACTATCTTTTCCTTGCTCTACCTGGAGGCCCATTTGCGCAGCTTTTTCGTTTAATAAGTTTTGTCTTGAGCGCTTTTTAAAATCCATAAATATATGCTGAAGCCAACATGCAGCTTTTTCGTTTGATAAGTTTTATCTTGAAAAGCATCGGACCGCTTTTTAAAATCACACTTTTTAAAATCCATGAATGCTGAAGCCAAGTCGTGGTTCTTGACAGCTCATGTTCTGGCTTTTCCTCTCTGGCTAGGTTTTCTTGGAGCAGCAACTGCGGCCTACCTGGCAATGGCTGGTCGCCGTCCTAGATTCCACCGAGGCCCAGCTGCGCTTTGGCTCGGCCCTCAGCAACAACAGCGACCCGTCGTGCCCCCAGCACCCGCTACACGCCAACTACACGCGTTCGCACCGGGAGCGACCGCCGCCACCCCGAGAAGAGCCCCGGTCGCTGCACGTCTTGGAGCACAACCGGCGGCGGCTGCGGTTCGGGACCCTGGGTCAGTCAGGTTTGTCCACATTATGATTTTTTAGTCAGGTTTTGTCACCAGTATTTTTATTGTTATTTTTTGTTATTTTGTTGTCAAAATTGCTATATTGTTATTTTTCTGTAAGTACTGTAAGGTTTGTCACCAGTATTTTTATTGCTATTGTTTTACAGTCAGGTTTGCCAAACAATAGTCAGGTTTGCCAACATTAATTTTATTGTTATTTTTTAAAGTTAAATTTGGCAACATTATTTTTATTGTTATTTTTCTGTCAGATATTATTGGGTGTTTTTTCAGTAAAATCTGTCACATTTAGTTATTTTTCAGTCAGGTTTGTCACTTTGTGTTGATTTTTTTGTTTTGACAGTTACATTGGTTTTTTGTTTTGTTTGTTGTTGTTTTTTTGTTTTGTTTGTTGTTTTTTTGCTTGTTTCTTTTTGCTTTAGATTATGAATTAGATGTTAGGTTTGGCACTTTTTTTGGCCATTATTTTTGGTTTGTATTTTAAAAAAATGGTTTGTTTAAGTATGTCCTTTCAAAGTTTGTCGATTGTGAGGCAAAGCTTGTGGCCCTGTTTCTAGAACCATTGTTAAAAACCAAGTCTTCTTTTCAAAGAATGAAAACTTCTGGATGTCAATGTAAACTCTTGGAGAAAGATTCTTGCCTTTTTCTGTTACGGCAGTGTGTTGGAAATTTTGGATGTGATCAGTTACTTTTGTTCATTGCAATTGTTTTGTTTTTTTAATTTGTGTGCTTGCAGTGCCCGCCACCAGCTCAGATGGCAACTCGGCACGCCGTGACTTCCTGAACTACGCCTTGTCGCTAATGCGCAGCCACCACGACGAGCACTCCAACTCTCTGCCAGTCATCGACATCACGGCCCTCAAACACACGGCATACGTGTTCGACGCACTCATCTACTACATGCGCACAGCGCCGGACTCTGACGTGGAGGCCCTGAGGGACGGCGTGTCCGTCACCTCCAGCTGGCAGGACGAAGACGGAGAGGAAGACCACGATGACGAGCTTCTGGGAGCGTCGGCTGCCGCCGTGGAGACGGAGAGTGTGGATGGGGACAGCGACAGCGCTACTCGTTTGGGTCGGAGGCATCCGTTTTTCCAGCGGTCCGACTCGACGATTTTTATGGGCTGTCCGCCCCCCGATCCTTTTCACACGCCTTTAGTGGAGGCGCTACCTTTGGCGGATCAGCCACACCTCCTTCAGCCCAACGCGAGGAGGGAGGATTATTTCGGCATGGCTAAGCCCACTGTGGTCTCGAAGGGGGGAGATGGTAGTTCTGTGGGCCCCGGTCGGCAGCTTCCCCTGAGTCTGGCGTTATCGATGAGGCGAGATGAAGAGAGGGTGAAGCTGGCCCAGAGCCTGCGCAACGCCGCCTTCCAGCCGATCTCCACCGCACCCATGAGCAGTACCACCAGTTCTGGAGGTGCAACGAGAGGTGGGGATGCTATGAGCAGTGGTGGAGGTGGAGGAGGTGCTGGGGGGAGCACATCGCTGACCTCGCTGATGTCTGCTACGGGGGTCTCTTCCTCTCGCGCCACCCTCAGCTCTGACCTCCGGTCGATGTCGGATCTGTTCCCTCAGAGCGTAGCGGTGAACCTTTCCCTGTCCGGACCCAACCACAGCAAGCCTCTGTCTCAGCAACAACAGCAGCATCAGCACCAACCTCTGGATATCCCTCTGCCGGGCGAGGCTCCGCCCCCTGTCGCCCAGTCCTCGTCACAGGCTCCGCCCCTGACCCAGCCCATGCTGTACCCAGAGCCCATGCAGGGGATCGCGGCTCCATCGTCGTCATCGTCCGTGCCCTCGGCCTCATTGAGCATACCGAACCCGCTGGCTCCGATGGTACCCAACCAGCCGCAGACACCCAGCCAGTTAGCCCGTGCGGCCTTGTCGGCCTTCTCAGAGATTGCCACCAGCAGAGAACGCATCGCCACCTCGGCGACCACCAGCACCACCAGCACTGGCCCCCTCGTCAGTGCTGGGCCAATCCCCACGTATCAACCGCAGCAGCTACCGCATCAACAACAGCAGCAGCAGCATGTTTCGTCACTGTGGGGGCTGGTGTCCCCGTCTGACCCGTCTCAGACCAGCGTGATCGTTCACACCGCCTCCAACCCGACCACCCTCCTAGCCTCCCAGCCCTCTGCCCTCACCGCTGCCACAGCATCGTCGTCAAACAGCGGTGCCCCACAACTACCACAACAACAACAACAGCAGCGACACCAACACCACCACCAACAACAACAGCACCCTCAGCAACATTTTAGTCCGCAACAGCAGCAATCTTCGTCTTCGTCACACCCGGTACCTCCCCCTCTCCCCGGCAGCGTCCCCCCTGCAGGAAGTTCGGTGGCCGGGCCTGCTGTTGCCTCGACCGACGAGTCTGGTGAGGATGGCCAGCCACCGCTCCGACCCAAGATCCACTTTGCCTTCCTGGCATGGTCGGCCCAGAACCAGGCTGCCTCCTCCTCCTCCTCCATGGGAGCTCCGGCCTCGGCTTCCTCTCACAGTGAGTATTGGCCGCTTACTCGTTTTTGATCCTTGCGCTTATTGGTTACTGTTGCTTTCTTTCTCCTCTTGTGGTAGAGAGAGTGAGGAGGGAGAAAGAGAGAAGGGAAGAAAAGAGGGTGGTAGGGGGAGAGAGAAATAAGAGCATATTGTTTGGGTTATTTTTTTTGCCTCCTTCCTGGAATATTTTCTATCAGTTCAGCTGCCAACATGTTTGTGTGTATGTATGCATACCTGCCACTCATCCCGATTTAATCTGGATATCCCGATTTTTTCCCCCCAAATCTCAAGCATCCCAATTTCCCTGATTTCGGTCGCCAGTATCCTGATTTTTTGTCGTTGCGCCAGATTCTTAGAAGAAAAAAATTCTGCAATCTCTTTTGCTTAGAAGCACCAATTGGACTTTTTATCAGCAGGAACTTAAAACACTATTTTCTAAAACACCAGTGCCGGATTTAGTAGTTGACTCTCGCATATTATTTCATATAAAATTGAAGTAGATTTGATTTTGAATTCCGACTTCGGTACTCTCAAGATCTACTTGCGCTTTTGTTATCCAGAATTCCAGAAGTGGGTGGTTGGCGGGTGCTCTGGTGTGATTTGTTTCTTCTTTCCTATCAAACATCTATTGTCCTTATCTCCCCTTCTTCTTTTTTATTTTTGTTTCTCTCTTGTAACACCTCTAATCTTCTGGCGCTCATATGGCCTTATGCAATTGCGAGCACCGTAAAACTTCTACTGAAACTAAACTAAAAAAAAATTATCCGATAACTGTAACAATTCTGACATAGGCCTATGAATAATTTATTCGTTGTTCTGCCGTTGCTTTAAAAACAAGCTTACTCTGAGTTCTGGTTAGTCAGATTGTCATCGAGACCTGTCAGTGGAACTTTCAAACACTCATTCGCATCACCTGACATGACCTCATACGTATGAGAGATGTCGGGGACCGTCGGTTGTCTGGGTCAACAAAGTACATTCACACTGGTCGCGTTGGTCGAGGTGTTTTTCAGGACTTAACCAGTATGGGATGACTAGGGGGGAGGGGGCGGGGGGTATTTTTTATTTGACTCTTGGGTTTAAATTGCTTGTCGTGATACATGTACTCATTGAGGATAAAGGACAACCTTGGTGTGATTTTCTTTTTTTTTAATTGGTGGGGTGGGAGGGGGGGGGGATTATGTTTAAGCTACACTGCAACCTGCTCTGCCCCAGTCTATCCAGCTCAGACATGAGTACGTTCTCTCTTTCAGTTTTTCCTCTACTTTGAGGCCCAAATGTGAAATTATTCCTGCAAAAGTTTTTCCTTGCACGCTTGCCTCATAAAAGGGAACTGGACCTCCCCCTCCCCAGTTCCCCTTATGACTGATTTGCCTTTGGTCCCGATTTTTTTCCAACAGTTCCTGATTTTTTTAAAACTCTGAAATCCTGATTTTTAGATTTCATAGAGTGGCCGGTCTGATGTATCTGTTTGTGTATTAACCGATGAAAGATGGCTAGAAGAATGTTGAACTTCCACCCTCTTAACGACATCTGGGTGTTAAGGGGATTTATTTGAAGGCGGCCAGGATGTTCTCTACTAGAACATAAAAACGGGTCACACTGTGTTTTCATTAATGTGCGGACCACGTGTTTATTTGCAGGCGGCAGTTCTAGCACCCCGCAGTCGCTCCAGTCCCTCCCCTCCACCCAGGAGCTGGGCTCCCTCAGTTCGGATCCCACCTCGGACAGCGGAGCGGACTCGCAGGCCTCCACGCTGCCTCCCATCCCGGCCGGTGTGTCCATCGTGACGCTGCCCCCACAGACTCACTCCTCCAATGTCGGACCGTCCACGTGAGTGACGACCCTCAACCCCCCCCCCCGTCTCTTGCCAGGCTTGCCAACTATCCCGAATTTGCTGTGACTGCTGTTCTGGATTCGGCAGTCAGGGAATTTGAGAACAGTAACTTTTTATCTCGGGGGGGGGGGGGGTAAACCCACTACGCGGGGCTCTTTTTTGGTACTAAATCTAAAAATGACAAAAGCATAATTAAATAGGTCATTAAAGTAAAGTGAACCTATTTTGATAGTTCTTTATCTGATGAATAAACTTCTGGTAAAAGAGACCTGTTTTCGGCAATTAAAAGTAATGATGTCGAAGTCGTCATAAAGGACGTCATAAAGGATTGTGCTCGAGCCACTGCCAGCGGCTCACCGGCAAAGCAGTTTTTACCCGGAGCCGCTGGGAACGTTTCGCCGGAAATAAGGAGTTAGTGTGTTTGCAGATGCATCATGAGACAGTTATAAATGGCTCTCTCCTCATGTTTTTCTGGACACATAGGGATACCATGATTCTGTTATTTCTCTTTATTTCCGTAATTTTCGCTGAAATCCGTTAGATAAAAACAGTTATTCTTCCAAGCATTTCGCTACCCTGGAATTACAAAGATCTATCTGCTGAGTACCTAATGTTGAGAAATTTGACAAAAATAACAACATATTGTTGAGTTTCACATATCTAGCTTTTTTAAAACGCAATTCTTTGAATGTCATGTTAACGACTCCTTATAATCTTACAATTTTGATAGAGCTGATAGCACATTTGGTTTCTGACCTTGTGGTCTTAGGAACTCAAAATGAACAAAAATTTCCCATAGACTTTGTAATTCAAAGGTAGCAATTTGTTTTATTTAATCCCATATTCATCATCATCATTGCTTTTCTCATCCTGCACCGGGGTATAGGCCTCAAACAAATGCTTTCCACGTTTCTCTTTCCTGGGCTAGCCTCTTGATGTTGTTCCATGTCTTCTGTACATCAGTTTCAGTTAATCTCATAGTTGCGTCCATAAAGTGCCCTTTTTTTCTTTTTTTTCTTTTATTTTGCTTGCAAATGAAACTATGTAAATTTTCAGTAATTTTTAAAAAAAATCTCAGTATCATGCCAGTACACAGCCTTGAATTTCTCTGTATATTATGTCTGTGTGTGTTTGATTACAGGAGCTCTGATACTCCCGCCAGCCTGGACCCTGCGCCCATTGACCTGGTCGGGGCCAACGAGAACGTGTCCAACACAGTGGACATTGAGACCTCGGACCAGTCGGCCCACCACGCGGGCCCCGGCTCGGCCCCGACCCCATCGGCCTCTGCTCTGCCGCCCCTCCCATCCATGTCTGCCTCGTCGTCATCGTCGGCTGTCAGGTGGGCAGATACAATGCTTGTTCATGTTTTAACCCTATCCGTACGCCCTGGGGCCATTTTGTACCCCCGGGGTTGTATTCTTCACATTTTACAATACTTCTAGTACAAAGATCTCTTTGAAACTTTCAGTATTTCTCAAAATTTCTTTTTGACAGACTGCTGTGCAAAGCGTACAGATCGGATTAACGAGTAAATTTCCTCTTTGGAAAGTTGTGGCACAGAGTTTCCCATGTCATATGGATACGATAGTAAAACACTATGTACGGATAGGGTTAATGATAGATAATAGTAAGTAAATTTATTCAGTGTTTAAGGCCATTGGCCCTCATCAGATCATGCAAAACATTAATTTGTTAAATAAAGTTTCTGAATGAAAAGGTACAGGTTGTGCACATATCTCTTATAACATGGATCAAACATGCATATTATTTTTTCTGTCACTGGGCCGAGTAAGGCTGGGAGGAATTAAATAGATGAAAGATAGCATTTGTATAGTGCTAATTCTCATTCAACAGCAAGCTCTATGCGCTTTACAATCAGTATTATTACCCCAGCAGACCTGATAGCATTCTGAAACAGTCTCAACTTCCTGGGAAGTGCACAAACACTAACATACTGACAAGGTCTTTTGCTGTCTATGGTCTGGTACCCATTCACACCTGGGTGAAGTGAGGAAAATTTGTGTAAAGTGACTTTCCAAAGGACCCAATGTTGGGCCTAAGGCTTGAACCCCTGCACCCCAACCTCAGGACTGCGAGTCTCGTTAGCGTAACCACTAGACTACTGATGTTTCATGCTCCTTTTGACACATTTTAGATCATGTAGGGGGTGAGCTGCTTTGACTTTGCTTGTCAGGGCCAGCTTTGGCAGAGTGGGATACAGCAACCCTGCAGACAGATGGAGATACTTGAAAAAAACCCAAACCAACCTCCCCTCAACCACCCCAGTCTGAGCGGTCCACCTCTGAAATTACCTATTAACAATGTGAACTTATTACATACTTTATTGATGCTGAAATGGGCCTGACCTGTTTTGTAAGCATTTCTGTACTCAGGGAAGCATTTTGATGGACCGTATATTATATCTGCATCATGTAACAATTTAAAAAGATAAGGTCTGGATTGATAACAACAACAACAATAAGATAAGATGAAATTTCATTGTCCCAGTCACGGTGAAAAATTTTTCTTGGCTGTACAGGAATGGTAAAAACACATGTAGATATACATAGTGTTTAAATTATATATTCCTCACTGTTCTGACTTTTGAAAAATACTTTATTGTATTATAAAGAAACTACGACCTGGTTGGAGATAAGCCTACAAAAACAATATATTAAACAGGTAAATATGAACAATATGTTATGAATTTATGAACAAGCGGTCTGATCAGCAGACAGGTAACGAGTGCCGAGGATTCATCATCATCATTGCCTTTCTCACCTTTGATCAGGATATAGGCCACAGACACTCTCCACCTTTCCCTATCCTGGGCTAGCAGCTTGATTTCATGTCTTCCCATTGCTGAGGATTACTATGATTGAAAAATGATTGTTTAAAAAAAACCAACCCAATAAACATGTCTTATCCTTTGTCTTCTCAGACACCAGACGGCGCTGGGCCAGATTGTGTCCCACGACCTCCTGCTGGGCCGCTGGCGACTCTCCCTGGACCTGTTTGGCCGCGTGTTCTGCGACGACGTAGGGGCCGAGCCGGGCTCTGTCATCAGTGAGCTTGGGGGGTTCCCCGTCAAGGAAGGACGCTTCCGCCGGGAGATGGAGAAGCTGAGGAACTCTCAGCAGAGAGATCTCACCATTGAGGTATGTATACAAGCAGGTACTGATTCGTGTAGTAGTAGGACGGCCGAAGAAGAAGATGACGGATCCTTATGTTGATTGCGGTATACTCTTACCGAGTAACTGGAAAAAATAGGTCAACTCTTTTTTTGTTTTTGTTGTTGTTCTTAAACTGTTGTCGAGGTCAATTTGGAGATACTCTGTAAAAGTCAGGTGTCGGCATTCACTGTAAAGAGTATAAAAGTAATGAGGGCTGACAACTCTTTTTACTGTTGTCTCCTCTCTAAATTACAGTACATCGTGTCAATGAGTTTCTCTTTACTAGTCTTTACTCTACTGTCCATCAAAAGTGACCTGTGGTCCTATTTAATTTGTGCTGACCCGTGCTCATATGACCGTATGCAGTTGGGAGTGCCGTAAAACATTTACAACGACAGGAACACCCCCCTCCCCTCCCCTCCCCAATTACTCTGATGTTCTG